CTGGACCGGTGTCCTCTCGTATCCTTTTCTTGTATTCCTCCATCGTCATGTCACCAATGTCCGTCATGTTGCTTTTTGGTTTGCTTTCGGGATCACTACTTTTGTCTGTTTCTGTTTCGGGCTCGTAACCAACTTCCTTTTTGTCAGGAGTCGTCTCAAAGCTCTCGAATGTGCTCTCGTTTTTCGGGATGTTGCTTGATCCTCCTACGTTCTTGTCCTTCTTTTTATGAAAAGGTGACTCTGGATCTTCAAGTGGTGGTGTCAATGGCGTGTTTGATCCTTGGGTCATATACTACTGAAACAAAAACAAAAAAAAACGTAAAAATGAACTAAAATTAAATAAAAAGTCTCACTGAATGATTACCATGACGTGGTAATAATGCCACCTCGTGGTATAGCAGATAAACTAAAACAGAAAGTGAAAACGAAATAAAACCTGAAATATCAGAGCTCACGTCGTGAGTTCAATATTTCAGAAAAATTTAACTAATGCAAAAAGTAACTTTTTGCAGGTTTTGCCCCACAAAAGGATCGATTAACCTACAACAATTAAATTAAAAACTAAAATAGCCGTTTCCTGGTAACGGCGCCAAAAACTTGATGCGTAATATTATACCTACTAGTTTACCAACTATTTAACTAACTATTATGTCTAAGGCAGTGTACCTACTCGCAATTAGTATATCACGAACAGTCGGGTATCGAACTCAGGAAACGGATTTAGTATACTAACATAACTACTAAAAGATTAATCTAAAAACAAACAATAATTAAAAATGAGTTTTATCTGATTTTTCAAGTTCAGAAAAACTTAAGCACTTTACTAAGAACTGTTTTAACCAATATATTAAAAACACTTTCGTTTAGTTTCGAATCCACCTTTTCCCTATGGTTAGTTACTATTTATGGATTAATAAAGTTGGTTACTAATTGTTATGTAATTAGCTATTTTGGTCCAGTAAACTAATATTTTCACCATTTCATGTACTACTATGTATGACCATACACAAGCAAACACATAACTAGTTATTAACTGTAATTAAGCTATGTAAGATTTATCTAAGTAATTAAGCAAACACAATTATGGTCACAATTATGTTCTCAAACACAGCTAATTTAACGCCTGGTTCCTGGTATGTATTTAAATAATAATTACCCACTTTTATATAGAAAATCAACGAGTTGGAGGCCCCAAACTCGTCGAGTAGAGATGGATTGGACCGCGGAATTGGAAACCTACTCGACGAGTTGGGAGGCCTCAACTCGACGAGTAGGCTGGCAGAAATGAAACCATAATCCCGGGGGTTTGCACCTTATTTAAACACCTTAACCCCAAGGTGTTGGCCTCATCTCCAGCCTCCACTGCCCAAAACCTTAATCTCGAAACCCTAAGCCATTTTTGGTGATTGTGAGCTAATCTTGTGCATTCTTGGTGAGTTTGAAGAAGGAGAAGCTTGAAGGAGGAGCAAGAACGTGTGGGAGGAGAGTAGATCCAGAAGTTAGGCTTCATTTCTGATTCATCTGAGGTGTAAAGCTTCAACCTTGTCCATGACATGCTTAGATCTAGTCTTAGGATGTTTTGCTTCATGTTTTGGTCCAAGTACGTTTATGGTTTGGATTTGGACGTTCCATTTGGGCAAACCCTTCAGATCTAGGGTCTTGAGGGGACTTCATGGCATAAAGGTGCCAACTTTATGGCCATGAAAGTCCCATGCAACCTTTAGACCATCATTTTGGTCTTTTAAGCCCGATTAGGTCATGTATGCGAGTAAAGATGGGAGCTTTACGTGATCAAATTGTCCCTAGAGTCCAGATCTATGACCTCATGGTCTATTTTGAAGTTTTGATGGCTTTTGGATTCGGATCTAAGCCATTTTGGGTTAGGGTTTGAGTTTATGCCTTGGGGAGAGGTTCTTAATGGGTAAAGTTGGAAACTTTACCCTTCTAGACGTATTTCCAGCTTGGATCCAGAAGATAGGACCTTGGTTTGAAGAATAGGGACTTAATGCATTAAGAAGGCTTAACAGACTGAAGAACTCGACGAGTTCATAGAGGAACTTGTCGAGTTGATTGAAAGTGTCCCGATTTTGTTATAAGGGACGAACTCGGCGAGTTGGGGTAAAACCCGATGAGTCGACCCGGGATATCGCGATTCTGTGAGTTTAGGCAGAACTTGGTGAGTTGGAGGAAAACTCGACGAGTTGGATCGCGATTTCATGATTTTATGATTCATGGGAACTCGACGAGTTGAAGGGAAAACTCGACGAGTCGAGTCAACTCGGAGCGTTGACTTTGACTTTGACTTTGACTTTGACTTGGACCAAAGTTGACCCTTAAGGGGTTATGAGTATGAAAGGGTAATTAAGGAAATCTTTTATGTTTAGGAGCTTGAGTTGGGTTGATATTCGGAGCCAAGGATTTTCAGCTACTTTCCAGTATTCGAGGTGAGTTACCTTCCTGTATGAGTGGGTCGAAGGCACCAATGCCGGCCCACTAGTAGTTGTTTAAAGTAGAGATGATTGTCTTTGTGATAATTGTCTGGTATGCCACTATCTGTTTTGATTTATGTGCTTATTGCTATGTTATTATGTGGTAGTGGTAGGGGGTGAAATAGACCCTGTAACCGGTTGGAATACACCGGAGGGTAGGTCGGGCACCTAGATATGCCTGAAAGTATGTTTATGCTATGTTATTATGTTGTAGTGGTAGGGGTGAAATAGACCCCGTAACCGGTTGAAATATACCAGAAGGTAGGTCGGGCACCCAGATATGCCTGACAGGGTAGATCGAGCACCCAAATATGCTTGACAGGGTAGGTCGGGCACCCAGATATGCCTGGCAGTACGTGATTATGTGGTATGATGGGGGGAACTCACTAAGATTTATGCTTACGGTTTTCAGTATTAGTTTCAGGTACTTATTCTTCGAAGGAAAGGAGCCTACATGATTGCAGCGCATCACACCATGATTTCCGCACATGAGATATTTGGGAGTTATACTTTGATGTTGTTTTATTATGACATGTTTTGATTATTGACATATTGGTTTTGACATGGGATAACACTATGGATGTTTTTAGACTATTGGTTTTATAATTACTTAAATAAAAATGAAATTTTTGGCTCTAAATTTTGGGATGTTACAGCTAAGTTTGTTACTTTTATTACTTAATCTAGATGTGGTCACTCTAGCTCTAGCAATTTAATAGTCACTAAACTACTAACCACTAGGTAAACAAGTTCATGTAATTTAATGGTCACTAAACTTCACTAAACTTGAATTTAAGCAACAAAGTCACAAACTTTAACATGCTAGGTAATGATAATCAAACACAAGCACAAAACCAACTTTATAAAATCCAATAAATAGTAAACTAAACCATAGATTCAAGGTTTCATCTAGCGAAACGAAAGTAAACAAGTTTAGCTACTCATAATTGAAAGTAAACACACAAGTTCATAAGAAATTAACATGATTCAAGTATGCAAACCGAATATGATGATTGGATCTTCAAATTCTTAATCTTCAAGCAAACTTTTCTCCAAAAGAATGATTTTCGCACTCTTCTGACCTCAAATCTCGAGTATCTCCGAATATCATCTCTCTCAAAAGCTTCTTCAAATCGTAAATGCCAAGGAGTATTTATAGTCTTTGCAATAACCAAAATATTAGTTAAAATGTATTAAAATATTGCCTAAAATTGTTTATAAATATGTCAATATCAGTAATCATACTTCATATTATCAAAGTCGTTACTGCAAGTGATGTTTCTCTCTGCCATTGTCACTATAACAAAACATAAAAAAAGAAAATATTATGTTAGCATAATGTATAATGTTAAGTATTTAGCAAATCGACATGTTCCCATATAAACAATGTTAATGGTTTTGAATAGCAATACAATGTGTGTTCAGCTCTTGAAATTGATTAAGTGGCAATAACACACAATGTAAGACCACAACAGTGAGTAAATAATACCCATTTTTGTAACAACTAACAACAAAGTAGGGACCAAATTGCCCTTTTTAAAATGATTATATATGAGAAGATTAGACTAAAGTTCATTTTCATATAAAAACTTTTTTCTTTGTACAATTAAGGAATACAATAATAAACACATTTTGAAGTTTCAGGGACAATAATCGATTTGGAAGACGGAGACAGATCATAAGTATTTAGAACATAAGTAAAACGGATTAACTACATACAATTGCCTCGATTAATCAGGTTTGCTCCTTCTTGGTCTTGTTTCCTGCTATGGAATATAAAATAATGGTGGTGTAAACCGATGATTAAAGATGTTGAATTATATATAGAACTGAATACGATGAAAATGAACAAGTAAATCAACTGAATAACAATTCCTTATATGTAGGCATTCGATATGAATGATAAGAGTCGTTTCATGAGTTATTGGATAAAATAGAATAATGAATATGATAAAAATAAAGCATTTCCTAACATGAATCTTTTCTTTTTTGAAACAGCAAACTAACTAATCTACTCCTAAATAACTACGTATGTCTCCACCGAGACTTGAACCCCTGACCTCTCATATGAGATGGTCACTCCATACCGCTAGACCATTGGTCCTTTGGTTCCTAACATGAATCGGGTATGTTTTTTAAATTACATATCACATTAATCACATTAAATAAGGATATCAGTTACAGAAATATCATATTCATATGACATGAATGACGTGAACATGTAATCGATTTGTGATTTTAAGTAGGGGCAAAAAGGGTATTTTACATCGGATGAATTTCAATTTTTGAAGGGACAGGTGACAGGAGATTTATCAGATAACCAATTTTTAGAAATATTTATCATAATCAATTTTTATCATTGTGAATGATATTAAAAAAAACTGTCAAAAATATTCAAAAGTTCGTATATATTTTGTTATAGAAAAATCTTTTCATGCAAGCAAAATTAAACTCAGTTGCAAAACCTTTTTCTGCAAAATATGTAGTCGTTATATAGGTAAAAAAAATAAAAAATTATCAAAGACGAAAACATGTGATCGATAAGAAAAAGCAACAGGGTGACCGCAGTCACCAATCCCTCCTTCACCTACCACCCCTCTTTCATATACCTAACAATGGCTTCATAGATTCCCACCCACCAACCACTAGACCAAACCACCTCTCAATCCGATCACACCATTCCATATGGCAGCGGCGGCGACGGCCTCATATTCCACAATTTCACCCAAACACAACGTTTCTTTCTCCACCAACAACCACCACCATTTCAATAAGAACGCTCTAGGTTTTGTATCCGAAAATCCCATTCCAATACGTTCTCTTTCCCTTTCTTGCTCCCGTCCAGCTAAACATTCAATGAAAGTATCTGCCACTTCAGCTGCTCCTCCGGTGATCGAGACTAGTAAGTCGAGTTCTGATGAAGTTCCCACTGTAGTTGATGTTGATTTAGGTGATCGGAGTTATCCAATCTATATTGGATCTGGTCTGCTTAATCAACCGGATCTTCTACAGAGGTATTATTATTGTTGCTCTTTTTCTGTTGTTTGATTATTGTAAATCATTTCGGAAGTTCAGGGTGCTTGAAAACAATCAATTACCGAAACACACCTTCTTTTTCGTATGATTAATTCGATTTGCTCAAAATTTCTATACTTTGCACTGCAATTAAATACAATCCGCTTGGTTATGATACATTATGTATCTCTGTTTTTGAAGTTGATATATTTGATTTGGGCATTGTGCAAGAGGTTTGTTGATAAACTAGTAATGGCAATGTTTCTATTTGTTGTGTGATGATAAACATAATACGTTTTATGTAATTAATCGTTTCACGCTTTTTAACAACCAAAGCTGATGAAGCTTCTGCAATTATACGAATCTTTAAATACAGGTTTTACACAAAAGCTTTCTAGTATCACATTAATGAAAAATAAGTTAATATTGAATCTTCATCGTGACTCTTACACATATGTGTTTCAATCCTTTAGGCATATTCATGGGAAGAGAGTTCTTGTAGTCACAAACACCACAGTGGCGCCTTTATACTTGGATAAAGTTGTTTAATGCTCTAACTGTTGGAAACCCTAATGTTACAGTTGAAAGTGTGATTCTCCCAGATGGAGAGAAATACAAGGACATGGTAGGTTTCTTTACATTCCATATTTGCATCTATGGTTGTCTAGTGTCTGAAATAAAAGCTCTATCTTGTTTATTTTATGTTAGGATACTCTCATGAAAGTATTTGACAAAGCCATTGAATCTCGATTGGATAGAAGATGTACTTTTGTTGCCCTTGGTGGTGGTGTCATTGGTGACATGTGTGGATATGCTGCAGCTTCTTTCCTCCGTGGTGTCAATTTCATTCAAATCCCTACAACTGTTATGGCACAGGTATAATACATTGTACTCAAACTGATGCCAAATGGGACAAAAGTCGTACTTTTTTGCTCTCATCTGTGCAAAAGACGTAAATACCCTTCTCATCACTGATTAGAGTTACATTTGCTATTCCCAGGTGGATTCTTCGGTTGGGGGCAAAACGGGAATAAACCACAGATTGGGAAAAAACTTGATTGGAGCATTTTATCAGCCACAGTGTGTGCTAATAGATACAGACACATTAAACACATTACCTGATAGAGAATTAGCTTCAGGTCTTGCTGAGGTCATCAAGTATGGGCTTATTAGAGATGCTCCATTTTTTGAGTGGCAAGAAAAGAACATGCAAGCTTTGATGTCCAGGTAAATAGACTTTTCTCCAACATGATAATCTGTGAAACAAAAATTGTAATTTTTGAAAAGTAGGATTACAATTTCATATCTTAATGAATGTGATTTTGTTTTTTTAGGGATGCTGATGCTTTTGCATATGCTATAAAGCGTTCATGTGAAAACAAGGCTGAAGTTGTATCTCAAGATGAAAGAGAAGGTGGTTTAAGGGCGACACTAAACCTGGGGCATACATTTTGGTCACGTGAGTTTTGGGTTCCTTTTTATTTTTATTTTAAATTTTGGTTCGTTGATTTTGATGGAATTGGAATTTGAGATTCCAATTCCGTGGGATCTTTCAAATCCAGGTTTACATGGATTTTGTGCATTCAAGAAGGAAGGTGGATGGAGTTTAATTCCATTCTATCTTTTTTATTAAAAGACCAAAATTCCCTTCATTATATATATTGAAATAAAAAAATAACATCTTTAGTTATATTTATTTATCATAAATAAAATTTTAATTATAAATAAAAAATATATGAATAAATTTTTGGTTGGCAGGAATTGCAGTGGAATTGAATAATAAAATTGAATATATTTTTAGATTCATTTATAATTATTAGTTCTTTTTATTTTCAGTATGTATCTAATAAGGGTATTTTGGTCTCTCAAGAAAAAAAAGGATAGAATGAATCCCTTCAACCATATGCCATATACCAACAAAACACCTCAATTTCAATTCTGTTGGATTCCCATTACAGATTCTATTCCTTTCAAAAACATTCTACAAATCATCTTTCTTCATTAAAAAAAAAAAAATTTCTTATACATTTTGGCTAATACTTATTTATTTTTTTTTTAAAAAAATAATCTTTCTTATACTTTTTATTTATTTTTAATGGGTTTTATGCAGAAAAGTCCTATTATTTTGGGAAATTTTTTTGATAAAGTCCTAAATTTTTTTTTTGAACAGAAAAGTCCTAATTATTTAACATTTTGCCCAAACTAACGAAAAAGTCCTCTTTTTTTTATTATTATTTTTTAAACATTTTAACAGGAAATGACAGCTTATGTGATTTTCCCAAAATAATGAGATTTTTCTTTTAAAAAAAAATCATTTAAGACTTTATCAACAAATTTCACAAAATAACGGGACTTTTCTGCATAAAACCCTCCTTCTTTTTTAAAGTCATACTTTTCTTTTTTTTTTTAATAAATAAAATTCCCTAATACCTCTTTTTAAAAAATAATAATAATAATCTTTCTTCTTATAAGTACTTTTTTGGGTACAGGCAATAGAAACTAGCTACGGGTACGGACACTGGCTTCATGGAGAAGCAGTTGCAGCTGGCACGGTAATCATTTTTTTTCCCTGGCTAAAATGTTGATCTATATATTTCTGAGGGTATTTTCGTAATTTCAGGTAATGGCGGTTGACATGTCATACCGCCTTGGTTGGATAGACGAATCCATAGTCAAACGAGTCAACTCCATCTTAAAACAAGCCAAACTACCAACCACCCCTCCCGAGATGATGACCGTAGATATGTTCAAATCTGTCATGGCCGTAAGTCAAAACTAAAATAATATAAACTTTTAGGAAAAAAAAAACAACTCGCAAAAAAGAAAAAAAAGCTAACAGACTGTTTGACAGTTGCTGATTGAGTCAGACCCAGCTTCTTACCGGACTCGGTAAGAGGCATATCACAGTCTACAAGACCGTGTCAGACCCAACTAATTGTGGTACCAAACGGTTTGAATCTGATCGAGTCAGACTCAGCCTCTTACCAGACCCGGTTACTTCAAGTAGCTTTAGTTTGCGAAACACGCGCTAATTCTTTTATATGATAAACTTTTTCTTTGCTAATAATATATTATATATTTTTTATTTAGGTGGATAAGAAGGTGGCTGATGGATTACTAAGACTAATACTCTTAAAAGGTCCACTAGGAAACTGTGTTTTCACAGGAGATTATGACCGAAAAGCTCTTGATGAAACCCTACTTGCATTTTCCAAGTCTTGATTTTAGGTATAGTTTTTGTTCTTCTTTGATGTGTAAGGCTTTTATACATGCCAAAATATGATATTATTATGTATCACAATTGGCTTTTAGTTATCGTTTTTTTTGGTGTATTCATGTTTGATAATAACATTAGGTGATGAGTGTGTGTTGTTTTATAATGATAACCAGTTCACGTTCTAGCACCTAAAGTTGTCTTTGTTACATAGGGGAGGACTAGACAACCTTTTTAAGACTATTTTAAATGATGAATGCGTTTACGTCTATTGCATATAATGGATCAAATACAAGTACAATGTTCTAATAAAATCTTTGTTATTTTTTTGTTGATGAGTTTGTATACTTGTCCCGAGTCCAACAAGCAAACATAGTATAGTGATATTTATCCTTGATAACAAACTTTAATTAACATGGTTAATAGTTAACATAACATAAATGATTGGCATTGCGCTCATTTAATTGAGGGTTAATATGATGGGATTTTGTTACAAAAACTCATCTATACTTTTAAATACGTAAAAACTATGTATTTTACTTCTAAAAAAATATTTTTCATAAGTATAAACATATCTAAAAAAGTTGTAAATGTGATGTTTAATTAAACATCTTTTCTTGTATAAATATATTTTTCTGCATGAATACGTATAATAAAAATAACATATTTAGGGTAAAAATGTAAATGTATTTATTTATTTTAAAACATATTTATATGTTTAAAAACATATTTATATCTTTAAAATATATTTATACATTTAAAAACGTATTTTAATAATAACATATTAAAAAGTATTTATGAATTTATAGTATAATTAAACATTTAGAAACTTGAACCCTACGACAAGGGTCTCTCGTTGACATTTTGACGTTGAGGTTTTTCCGGCGTTCCACGTCGAGGTGAGTGGTAGGGTTAGCAATCATATGTTGGGATGATGGCTATGTATACATAGAAGACAAATTTGGATGGATGGGTGTGGCGCATTGGCAAACAATCGTCATCTCAGCAGAATGATGAGGAGCACATACACAATAGGACGTATAAGGGAGACTTTAGTAAACTGATTTAGAATCTATACTTGCGAGAGGTTGATCGAATTGCATCATCATTTTACATAAAGAATTTTCTATATCACATAGATTCTAGAGCTTTGTGGAAGTGGTGGATGTTGCATGGTAAAGTTGTCGACGTGTATATTGTGAGCAAGTTGGACGAATTTTTGTATCGGATAAGGTGGTTGCAAAGATTTTGGCGCTTCGATTAGCAAAGGTGATTGGTAGCATAGTGAGTGACGAGCAGACATTGTTTGTGAAGGGTCATTAAATTCTTGACGATCCTATGACAGTTAGTTAGATTGTGGATTGGTGTAAAATGAAAAAAACAAAAACTTATGATATTTGAGGTGGATTACGAGAAGGCATATGAATCTTTGAGTTGGGAATATTTGGATCATATTTTGTTAGCTTTCAGTTTTGGAGCAACTTGGAGGGGACGAATAACACAATGTCTTTCCACAGTGAGAGCTTCTATTTTGATCGATGGGAGTCCTACAGAGGAGTTTTTGTTATGTCGAGGTGTTCGACAATTTGAACCTTTGTCGCATTTTTTATTTATTTTGGCGAAAAAGGGCCTCACATTGCTATAGAAGATGTTGTTGCTCGTAACTTCATCAAGGGAGTGAGTATTAGTGGTAATGAGTTTAAGATGTCCAATCTGTTCTACGTAGATGACATGTTTTTGATAGAGTGGAGTTGTGGAGATGTTGAAGATGTTGTTCAGGTGTTACAAGAATTTACAATGCCACGGGTCGGAAGTTAAATCTTTAGAAATCAAATATATACGATGTTGGGGTTATAAAAGAATAGGTGAATTCTATGATACATGTTACATGTTGTGCCCCTGGTAGCTTATCTTTTAAGTACATTGGTTTACATGTTGATGGACGCATGACACGTAAGGGAGGTTGGGAAGTTTTGATTGAGTGCTTCAAGGCTAAGTTGTTGTAACGCCCGCAGATTCGGGCTAGTTAATTTAGAGACAATGAGCATCAAAAATGAAATTTTGATAGAAGATTATTTAGAAGGAATAATCTTAACTAAGTTATAGTATATGTCACAAGGGTTCCGTACATATAAAGAACGCCGAAATCCGAGTTATAACGAAGAAGTTATGACCTGTCGAAGTTTTACAGCAAAATCGACACGACATCAGGAATCGTAAAAAGTGAGTTTGCAATAAAATACTTTTTAGCCTTAGCGATCTAAACAAAAGTCGTAGTATACGTTAAACCGAGAGCGTGCATAAAAAGAACGTCCAAATCTGACTTTGTATGAGGAAGTTATGATTTTTCTAAGATTTAGCATAACAGTGCACAGCCTGAAATTCGAATTTTTGGATCAATCGATTTTTAGGTGACACAATCTAAACGAGGATCAAAGATCTCGTTAATAAGAACTCAACAATATAAAGACAGACGAAAACGGACATCGGATGACAAAGTTATGAATTTTTAACGGACTTTACCTGTCCAGGCCTGTTAAAATATAACTTTAAAAATAAAGTCAAAACTAGCCAACGGAGTCTAAACAAAAGTTGTAGAGTACATCGCCACCTACGTGTGGATATAAAGAACGTCGAAAACGGAGCTCATATGCGAAAGTTACAGAATTTAGAAGTCAGGAATGAGCTGCTGCGAGGAGGGTGACGTAGACAAATCCTGGCCCTTGCTTGCTCCCTACGGACTTCACTCCGGATCGCAACACGTGTCCCCTCGTACGCGCAGCGTAGCTCCGAGGAATGCCCAACGTAACTGAGGACCAACTCCTATAAATAGGATGCGAGGGCACCCACAATTCTTCACACCTTAGCCTTTCTCTCTCTCTCTCTCTCTCTAACTTCTCTCTAAACCCTCCCACCCTTAGTACTTCCCAAGTGCTAAGAGGCGAGTCACGGAGCGCCAGAAGGCTCCGAGAAGAAGAGCTTTCGGCTCGGAAGTTCTGCCCCCGCAGAGCCCGGTTCCTAGCCAAACCTCTTAGTAAGTGAGTTATGCTTACCATACTTTAAGTATAGCTTATGTTTAAGTTCAATATCGTTATTATGAACTTATAAACAATATATATTATAAAATATAATATACAAAGTGTTATTATAATATCTTTTAATTACTCGCGGTACGGTGAATCTGGTTTGATGGGCCGCATAGGGTTGTTGGATTTCAAAAGTGCTATAATGCCAAAATGGTCCTGCCCTCCGGTGTGTCATGTATGGCCCATGTCTGTATATAGTAGTTGAAAAGTATTGTTTAACACTTATAAAACAATATCGCTCGTAAATAGTCGCAATAAATATTAGACTAAAATCTAGCAGTAATGATACTAGGTTTCGTCGAAGGAAAATAGAATTGTTAGAAGCGAAGCGCTGCCCGAGTTTGGAATCATCACTTTAACAAGTGAGTGCATATTTACTTTCATCTTACACATAGATATAAAGTATTTAATATAAATTACATGCTATGTGTGCATATTATCTGTGTTCTTGATATCTATGCTGGATGAACAAATTATACATGTTTTATTCGATTTTAAACTGTATACATATTTTATACCTATAATTATGATGGGTAAAGATGGATAGATGAAATATGAGATGAGAGATGAAAGATAAGATGAGATGAGAGAAAAGATGAGATAAATGATAAGAGATGAAAGATGAGATGAATGATGAGAGATGAATGATGATATAGATGATGAGGTGAAAGATGATGAGAAATGATAACCCAAACGATATCCTAGTCATCTAGCAGAGTATAGATGACAACCACATACTATTCTAGACAGTGCAATGGAACACTAGCAGGCTCGCAACCTGTAGGTGTTGTGAACGATGTGTTCACCAGATATACTCTAAAAACCCATTGACATGTATTGTGGGTGGACTCCCTAAAATAATATTGTGAATAAAAGAGATAAACCCTGGAAACTATGGATTTGTTGCCCTATAGATGAACATCGACAACTATGGACTTAGTGCCTGTTATATAAACCCTGGCAGCGATGGACTTCATGCCTATTCCTTAGGACAATCCTTAGAAATGAATGGGTGAATGATAGATGATTCTTAGGGTAGATCCTTAAGAAATAAAGTAGATAATGGAGATGGGTAATTGAGTTAATTGTTTAATGATGAAACATAATAACTTTATTATTATGGGTTGAAAACCCTATGTACTCACCGGGTTTCCCAACCTGACCCACTCAGTTTATTTGAATCACATGTATCGATGCGAAGATACATTACACTGAGAGATTAAAGGAGATGTAGATCCTTAGTGTAAATTAATGTAAGGTCTGTTTATGCTTATGTTTCTGTATTGACGATGACATCCCAAAGTTTTAATATAAACAAAATACATTTCTTTGGAAATGCTTTGATAATATATTTATCATGTTTTATGGGAACAAATTCCGCAATATTATTCTTTAAAGTGAATACTCTGATTTTCAAATAAGCATAACTAAATTTTTTAAAATGAACGTGAATTTGGGGATGTCACAGTTGTCAACTTGAAAGGTTAAGATGCTCTCTTCTAGTGATAGACGTACCATGGTGAAGTCGATCCTAGGAAGTATGAGGATTAATTTTTGTCGCTTTTTAAAGCTCATGTAGGTTTGTTAAAAAACTCGATTTACTTTCTTTTGGGGTGCTCGTGTTGATGATAGAAAAATGGTTTCGATGGCTTGGGGTAAGGTGCTAGCTGGTCTTGATCAAGGTGGCATACGTGTGGGGAGTTTAGTTGCATTTAAACAACCATAACTCATTCAATTTAAGTCGGATTGACACGCGGTTTTTTCCAACGTTTAATTTACGGTTCGTAAATGAATTTAGACTATAATTTTGTTGATTTTGGTATTATATTCAATGAGTTACAGTCTTTCAAAGTTGAGCTATCAAAGCTGAAAAATTTCAGCTTTTCAGCAAGTTTTTTAAAATTTTGTAATCTGTGAAAATTTTTAAACAACCACAACTCATTTGTTTTAAGTCGGATTGACCTGAGGTTTTTTCCAACATATATTTTACAGTTTGTAGATAAATTTAGACTATAATTTTGTTGATTTTGGTATTATATTCAGTGAGTTACAATCCTTCAAAGTTGAGCTATCAAAGCTGAAATATTTCAACTTTTTAACTATCATTTTATACTATAATTTTGAATTTTATGTATCTTTGATAGATAAATCATATGAAAGGGATCTTGGTGAACTTGATTTATATGTTAGTTGATTTTATTTGGAAAATT